CCCAGTCTTTCCAAACAGTACAATCTTCCCTTTCATCCCGTTCATGGCCATAGTTGATGTTGCTATTGCCTCTGGCTTAGGTACAGACTGTACTGTACGAACAGGAAGTGACTTAATGCTGGTGTGTAGTATTGCTTATGTATGCAAACATTCGAAAAGAGGATAATAATCAAAATCAAAAAAAAAAAAAAAAAAAAAAAAATTATATACCTTCTTTCTCATCTTTTATCTTCAACAGGCTCATATCCAGTGATGGAGCAGCTCTGTCTACTATCTCCACTACAGCTTCTGAAAGCTTGCACTGTAGAGAAGCTCTACTACCAGACCAGAAATACAAAGAGTCAAAGAGTAGAGTAGGATACATTCGACAGTGGACTCCTTCTAGGGACTTAGAATCCATCTTGTTTTGTTTTGTATCGTAGAATGTAGTCCATAGCATTGAATCTTTGATGCTTACAATGAGCTTCGCATACATCCGCATTGTTGTGGCACCATCCTTTGTGAATTCCTTCAATGGATGTTTGAACATATCATCTATTGTTTCCTTTGATACCAACTTCCTTGGGATGCTTCATGATGTATTCTTTACAGCGATCGTATATTGCATGTACGTTAGCACAAAATGCATTCTCATTGGTATCTTTATTATCTTCTACACTTATGCTAATGCACATACTCTTGCTTCCCTTGTTGCTAGATCCTGAAAAGGAATCATCCTAAGGAATAGAACATACATCCTTTTGGTGCTAGTATCAAAGGATACTCTATTCCGTTCTCTACTTTGTATGATATACCAACTCTTTTTCCAGCAGATGGAATTGCAGACTTTCCTTTTGATCCGGAAGATTGGAATGTATCTGTTACGGGTGTGAACAGTATATTCAAAGGGTTCAAATCATATATAACTCTCCTTTTAGAGGCCATGACTGGTTGATGTTGATAATATACACTATAAGATCTTATTATTTATCAGTTGACTATATACATATCATTCTCTATTAAGATCTTGATCATAATATCTGCAAGTTCCTTTTTGGTTCTTGTAATTATCCATCCATATAATTTCTGCTTTACGTCATAAGGAAGTAATAGCAGACTATCATACTTTGAATCTGTAAATGCTTTTATAGTATGTGTCTTTTTAATACTTATGAGATTCTCTTGATCTGAAAAATTATAGAATGTAGGTCCTATGATATCCATAATGCTTTCCTGCTTAGTTTCATATGTAAGCAAGTACAATAGTATGTCCATCATCATAGATCCGCTATGTGAATCTATGCATCTACCTCTGTTGATGCTTCTTAGATCCTTAAGCGACCTTTCTTTATTCTCAGATAAAGAGTTACGTATTCTAAACCTGTTATCTCCATTAGAGAATATAGCATATATCTTATGCTTTGTTTCTATTATCTCTCTAGAGCACTTTGACTTTGATATTATCTTCTGTATTATGTCAAGCTCATCCTCCGCACTTACTGTCATCCAAGTACCATCTAACACCCTTGTTTTCATACATGCTTTGAAGGATTCTGAAGATAAAGAGTATGAGTAATTATCTTCTGCTGTTCTATACAACAATATGTGATAATACTTGTCATTGATACAATCGAAGGAATTCTCAAAGAACAAACTAGCATTCTTATTACCACTTAGTATTGCTGATTCAAGTAGATGCACCTTTTGCGACATCGTCATTGACGACACCACATATATAAGATCTCTCTTGTCTTCATATATTACTTTCGTAAAGTAATTAACACTTACATTGATGCGTTGTTTGAAACTTGATAAGTGTGTATTTCTATTGGAAGTAGTAACAGAATCTAAGTATATCATATCTTTTATCTCTTTAATTCTTGTCCCATTGTCGAGACTAATGCCTTTTCCAATTAAAGCTTTCACTACGCTTTTCTTGGTGTTCAACAATGTGCTTATAGCACCTATTGAAAGAGCCTCTGTTGATCTAGTGACAATCTCACGTATAGAAGCTTCTATATCGTTGCAGTACCATAAGAGATATGTTGATATATCATCACCAAATCCATTTCTTACTGTTGTAGTATCAACATTTAAGTAATAATCAACACAACAACTTCTTATAACGTTCTCTACATCTTCTATATGCTTTGATTTGTCTTCTGAGATTAAGTATTTGTACATGTCTATGCTTACAGAGGGTACACACTTGTTGCTCTTACCTACAAGAGCTACATGTCTGTAAACATGTATTGACCTTTCATCGACCTTTAAAAGTTCATGTGATTGACTCCTTACTGCTCTTCCAATTGCTTGTACTATTGTTGACTTGTTCCAATGAGGAGTAAGAATATGCACTTGTCTTACATTAGTTAAGCTTACACTCTCTCCACTGATTCTGCTACCGAGTAATATCTTAACATATTCTCCATACTTGTTCTTTGGGGATCTAAACCCATCTAATCTCTTTTCTGGATTGGAGCAAGCAATCGTATCTCCTGTGTACAACGTGTATCGCAAACCTTTATCGATCTCATCGATGTTTTCACCATCGTATAATTGGTATCCAAAGAGTTCAAATATACAACTCATCATAAACAATCCAATCCCTTTAACTTCCTCACAAAATACAAATGCTAGCATGTCTTTGTTGCTTTCTATTATGTCTAGCATCTTTGAGTACTTTCAAGAGTACAAGTGTAAATTGTCTCTTCTTAATCGCTGTACAACCTCTTCATTAAGCGTATACTTTATTTTATTGTCTTGTTTGATCCTTACAATCTTTGCGAATGCTTCAGCACCATATGTTCCATCCCAGAAGGTCATTAAAGAGCACTATATGGAGTTTCTATACACACTATCATCGAGATTGTTAATATCTATTTTCTTATATGCTTCAAGTTGATACCCTTTCATGCAAGACGGAACGACCTTGACTGAACAATCTTCTAGAGTTACTCCTTCTTCTATTACTTTTGCCATGTCTTGGTTGCTGTTGAGGTATGATATTCTACCCATTATGCTTCTTCTAAAGTCATCCTCGGTAGGAAAGAATGATGTATCAAATTGATGATCAACATCAAGTATTAAATTAAGAATAGATAGGATCTCTTCAGCTTTGTCTATCATAGGAGTTGCACTTAAAAGAAGTATCTTACAGTTCCTAGTGAGGTGAGATAATCTCCACATTTGACCATATACAATCTCTGCATCAAGGTCTGACATAGAATGCTTCAAATTATGAAGTTCATCCATTATCATTATCCTATTACTGAAGCTTGACATTACTTGATTATCATCTAATCTCTTTAGCTTGTTTGCAAAAGAGATGTACCTTTTTATTTCATAGTCTTTTACTTCTCCACCTAGCCACTTACGAATCTGATCCTTAAAGTTATCAGCAGATGTTCTACCTCTTACGAGTACGAGTGCTCTTCTTTTGCATGATTTATGAGACTCAACAACTGCTATAGATGTAAATGTCTTTCCTGACCCAACATTATGGAACAACAATAAGTTATTATATGGTGTCTGAGGAGACATAAATCTTCTTACAAACTCCTGATGAGGATACAGTCTTGATTTGTTTATTTTTCTTGTTTCATAAAATTCCTTTTTCTTCCATAGATTGTCAACAAAGCTATTATCTGATACAACAGGGTATGATGGAATGAACTCTTCCATGGTGTTGTTATAAATGAATTAGCTAACAGGGGTGCTTGTCGGAACGTTCAATTGTACCCTGTAAGCACATACATCATGGATTTCTTAACAGAGTTTATAAAGTCCAAGAAAGACTTGATTGCTAAGTCTCCTGAAGGATACGAATATGAGATCGAGATCAGACTGAAAGATGTGACAGAGAAGGAATTCATAGGACTCCCAAAAGTCACTAACATTATCACCACAGAGGAGACACTGTATTCAGTAAAAGGTAGTAGTACTGTTACAGTCAGAGAAATAAACTCTGAATTCTTCATCAAAGAAAAAATATCATCAAGGATAATTCCTAAGTTCAATGCAGAGGTTGTGCTATCTCTTGAGCTAAGACATCACAAGGAAGAAGGAATGGCACTAAGGATCAAGAGAAACAAAGAAAGGGGTACAATAAGCTATAACAAGTTCAAGATTGACTCGACCAGAGTTGTATCTAAAGCACATACTCATTACGAAATCGAACTTGAACTGCTAGATGATGATTGTGAGGTTAAGCTTTTAGAGCTTGCATTAGAACGTATCAGACCTTCTACAGTTCCACAAATATTCAAATTAATCAACAAGCTTGTACCTAGTCTTGATCTTCGAAGCTACAAGTTCCCAAAGCCTGTTGATATGACAGTAAAAGAGCTTACAAGGAATTACTCATCAGGAGGATCTGTATCCCTAAAGCTCGATGGTACAAGATCATTCCTTGCATGCTATGAAGCAACTGTGTATGCTATATCAACTAAAGGAGAAGAGACAATCATCGAATCAGGTGTTCGTGATTGTAACTTGCTTACTCTCTTGGATACAGAAGCTGTCAATGGTGTATACTATGCATTCGATATTATTTTACTGGATGGAGTAGTAGTTGGTAATAAGCCACTAATCGAAAGAGTAAGAATGATACCTCAAGTATGCTTAGCAATCAACAAAGCTACTAAGAAGAGATTAGTAGTTGCAAAGAGGCATTTCATGTTCAAGACATTCTCTGCATTCTCTAGACAGCATCAGATACTAGAAAAGCAAGTTCAAGAGAACAAGTATGATGGTCTAATATACACACACTCTCAATCTTATCTTGATCCTGTTATGAGATGGAAACCTCAAAAGACTGTTGATCCATTACATCAAGAAAAAGCCTTAATGGCATATAATAAGAAGGAAAATATAGATTCTGGGCTCAAGACATCACAAGATAGTACAGAACAAAAAGAAAATGCTATCTCAGATCCTGTTATAAACTCCAATGGAACTGTGACAACACTAAGAGAAAAAGAAGACAAGACGTATCCGAATTCTGTTGCAGTAGTAGAAAGGATCAAAAAGATAACAAGGGAAGAGAAGAATATGTTTAATATCTTTAAAGGATTAACAGAATTCTAGCATCTGTTCCCTGAATGCTTCCCACAAGGAACCATCACCCTTACTTGTGACAAATGTGTCAAATCTGGTAAGCACATTGCAACCCCTGGCAGTGCACGAGAACTAAGCTCAACAGTAGCAAAAAGATGCCTGCATCCAGCAGACTACGTTCTTCACCATCTTTCAATGAAGGTAACCTATCTGTGCACACGAAACCTAATGCTGTGCCTTCTCTAGGTGTTCAGCCAAAACCTTGGATGCGAACTTTGACACTGTCAATCCTTCATCCGCTGCAAGTTTTGCTAGACTCGAATGAACATCCGCATCCAGAAACAAGCCACCTCTTCGAACTGGTTTGCGAGGCCCTGTATAATTCTCGATGTACGTTTTACAAGCACCGAACCCCTGTTGCATGAACGATTCGAAGGGTGAAAAACCAACAATTAAAGCCTCCTCAACTAATAATTGAACTGCACTTGCAATCTTCTTTTCATCAAAGTGGAAATTATCCATCTTGGAATAATGCACAATGTCCCCTGGTTTCACAAATTCACACATGCTGCTTCTTCCAGCCAAGACCAGGCAGCAAAGTAGTACCTGTCGGTAAACAAAGTCACCGAAGCCTTCCTTCTCGTGCCTTTCACTCTTCCACATGTAGAAGACAGGTTCCAGAACCGATTCCAGCTTATCCAACTTTACTCTATCCATAAAAGTCTCTGCTAACCTAGTCTGGTTCGAAGCTCCACCCAGCCATATCTGATAGCTGTTGGGCCCATCACCAACCAACCCAAGCTCTGCCATGTAAGGGCGAGCACAGCCGTTGGGGCACCCTGTAATTCGCACCACCAACGATTCTGAAGCTTTCAACCCTACCTGCACGAGAGAGGAATATAGTATTTTTCAGAGTGATTCAACTGAAGTGAACGTGGCCACAGGAACCATCATTCTTCCTAATACTAATGTGTACTTACAATACCAGCGAAACTACAATTCAAATGCGCATAAAATACCATCGCAATCACCTTATCCATCATTGCTCGAACCCTCTTAAGAATATCGGGTGCTCCGCGTTCGGCTTCGGCAATTGCAAGCGGGCACAGCGGCAAAGCTGGGCATGCCATGGCTGTGATGTTCAATGGGTCCACAAATTTAGGAGCCTGGAGACGCAACAGCCACAGTCAAGCTCAAACCTTACAGAAGCAGATTTAGATCCTCTGACGTGGAGAACCTCTAGTTCAACAGCTGCCACAAATACGCAAGAGCTGTCACAATTGTGAAACAGCTGACCGGCCCATTCATTACTCACCAGAAGTCCAACATTAGCAAGCGCCCTGGTGATGCGCGCCTTCCACGAGGGTCGAACGTTGCATAGGATAAGATTTTGATTGGGGGTAATGTGAACATCCAGCTTGAACTTCTCAATCACCTCCCTGAGAGCCTTCTTTGCCTCGCCTTTGATCCGACCATTCTCAACATGCAAGCCGAAAAATACATTGCCGTCGCCCTGCAATATTACCACTTCAATAAGCGCTCCTGCATTGTACATCAAGTGCAGTACAGCATTCCTTCAAACCCAGACCAACTCTTTGCACCAAGGAAAACGACGATCACCTGTTCATGCCAGCCCAAGTAGCTTTGGAACTGGAAGGGAGGAAGCTCCTTGAAAGGTTGAATGTGCTTGCCAAAATACTGCTCCACTACTGTTTTGAATTTGTGAATTCCCCACTCCTCAACCACATATTTCATGCGAGACATTCTACGATCATCCCGGCGGCCATAGTCACGCTGCGTGGCCACTATTGCCTTCACAACGTACAGTATATCATCCTTGGATACATAGCCTAATTCGTCCGCCAGTCGTGGGAAGGTCTGCTCGTTTCTGTGCGTTCGACCCATGCCTCCTCCAACCTGAAATACCATAAATGTCAAAAGTGAACCTTTCACAATGTGAGTAAAACATTCATGTAGGAAAAATAAACTGGGGGAGCACAAAGTTGGTCAAAGCTTTCACCCTAAACCGGTTCGACTGGGGCTGGACGTACGAAAGTAAGCATAACCCTGCAATGAGCCATCCTAGAGGAGGAACGCCTAAAGTCCATCAAGTTCGGTCCCTACATAAATATTGTAGCCTTGTACGTCTCCATGTTCATCGCTGATTACGACAATGCCGATGTCGTTTGTCAATACATCAACCGAATTGTCGCCGGGTACAGTAACTGCAATCTTGAACTTTCTGGGCAAAAATTGGACTCCATAGATAGGCTCAGGGGAATTGTCGAAGTTCGTGCCATACGAGTTGTCATTGCGGGCAATTGTGACATCCTCGGGCTCATCTTGAGTGATCTTTTCACCGTCCACCCAGATATCATAGTATGCCCCAGCTTGGGGAGCCAAAAGCATTGCTAACTTGCTAGCCAGTTCCTGTGCGTGGACGTACTCCTTTGATTTGTAAGGTGCTGCAGGGGCCAAAACGTTTCTGTTCACGTCCCCACAAGCCCCGAGCGTCGACCCCAAATTCTTGATTATGCTGCTCATAACAGTCTTCAAATCGGTCTTTAGAACACCGTGAAGCTGGAAGGTCTGACGCGTCGTCAGACGCAGGGTGCCAATGCCATACTTGTCAGCGAGCTCATCCATGACCAAGTACAGACGGTTGGGAACAATGCCTGAAGGGTTTTTGGTCCTAAGCATGAACTGATAAGCCTTGTGACCCGGACCCCTCAACTCGCGGTTGTCTTGTTGGTAGCTCCCGTGAAATTTGATAAGCTGGACAGCGTCTTCATTCACATTAGGTGCCTCTGTTTCAAGCTCCTCTTTCAAAGGATGCCGCAAAAAATCACTGTTTTGCTTGATGATTTCCACCTTGCTCCGTTTCGGTGGCATCGTTGTCGGCGGTCTCACAGGCTGCAAAGCAATGACACCAATAATTAAGGTAAGCTCCAGGCTACTCTGTGAACCGTATAAAAGGATTCTAAACGCTCGAGATTTGAGAAGAGATTTATCGGTTCTTCGCAGGGGGTTCAGAGCACCAAACAAACAGCAGAAACGAGAGTGGCTCAGATTCAAGGTCATCTCTCAACGTCATTTGCGCATGACAAATTCAGCTGCATTGTAAAACACGCACTCGAAGAATGTCAATCAAGAGAGTGGACCGATAAAGAAAAAAAGAAAGAGTCTAAACTGAAATTCAATACATTCAACACAATTAATCATTTAGATCATCTTATACGGCCCGACGTTTCGCTTCGAAGAATGCAGACGTCTCGAGTCAGGCTGAGTAAGCGCCAAGGGTGAAATTCGACTAATCCCCTGGAAACATCGACTTGAGATCAGCCCACGACATCATAAACAAGCGACTAACAACAAGGCAGATGATCACGTACCGTAGCCACGGCACGAACGCGAAGAGTACCGACCGCAGCGCCTCTGCTCGACGAAACCTGAGCTTCATGCTCCCCATTCCTACGCACTCTCAATCCCGAAAAACTCGAAAAAGACGGTGGAGCAGGCGACTGCACCAACTCCGCTCCGCCAACAAGCGCAGAAAAACCCTGGGCCGAAGCCATGCCATGCACCACCGCAGTCGCCATGCACAACTAGAGCTCTTGACGCTACAATCACCACGCGATTGACCTAATCCTGCCCTTCCAGCGACGCGAAAAATTGCTAACTCTCCTCTGGAGATGCTTCACTGTCACCGTGTGCGCGATGAATCAAAACTGCGGGGAGACTAGCCAAGGTTTTGAACGGTCCCCGGCAGCCTCGTAGAGAAGGAGGACTGAGCAGATCGAAGCCTGTCGCAATCGCGGAATCCGCGTCAGCGAAACCGGAACGGCAACACCATCACCAACACCAACATGCATTTGTAGGAGAAGAGGGAGCGTGGCCACCGCGCCGCCGAGGGAGCCACGCGCGCTCTCCGAAAGGAATATCTTCCCATTTGGGAGTCCCCTCCCACCTTATCATCCATCCGATAACCTATGCACTCTCATCCGTCGTTCATCCCGTATAGAGGCCCTGCTTACAGGCCCCGTTGGACCCGCAACTGTTTCGCCCTCCCTCCACGTCAACGGCGTGAAGCTCTGAAGGGTTTAAAACGCTGAAACCTGGGTTCATTCGCAGTTTCGCCATGGGTCTTGACCAGCTGCGTTCGCCACCAAAAGCTTTGCGTGGCGGGATGATTTGCGAGGTGGATTGTAAGGTTTTCTAGTTCCTAAGAACCATGTGGGTGAAAATGGAAATGAAGGCCAGATGGACATGGTTCACGGCTGTATTTGCCCGTTGTTTGAGGATGATTCGCGACACCAATGAAGAATGAGGGGTGCATGTTGCTGACCTCAGTTGGTGGCGTTTCAGTCGGTCTGGTTCCAGTGCAAACCGAGCAGAAGCAATCTGGTGGTCGTAGATTTGTGTTTACGGGATCTGGAGACAGATTGGATTTGTGATTTTTCATTTTGTCCTATTCTTCCTACAACAATCAACCCAAGATTAGAGAGGTGGATCCGGTTCTCTGGGCACAGGTTCAATTCGAACGGCGGGCCGTGTGTTTAGAATTTTTCTTGGTGGTCGGATATCGTCGTACGCATCTGAAATTTTCTGGTGTTTGCACAACCTTGATGACTTTCGAGTTGTCGTTGTTAAAAGAATTAGATTAGGAGTAATTGGCTGTGTGCTCCACTTGTTGAGATCTGACTATGTTTAGACTAGGCACTCTTTTCACCTTCTTTGATGAGTCTTGGTCCTGCGCTTGTTTAGGCTCTTGGAAGATTTAGGTTGTTTTGTAGTGATATGGTTGGATGTTGTTTGAATCCTCTTCATTGTTGATGATGTGTCGACTTAGCATTTGAGACATTTCTTACAATTTTCTTAATTCTGACTGAAGGAATCTGTGTACATGGTATCAAAGCAGGCTGGTAGCGACCAGATTAGCAGCGCATTTAGTACTTGCTAGATTAGTAATCGATCAAGTCGAAAGCTTCCTGATAGTTACAAGCTGGTTAAGGTTGGCGATGATGGATCAGTGCTTCCAGCTACTAAGGACGAGGTCTTGGATTCCTTGGTCATTATGTTGGGAAATACCCTCTTATTCTTTAATCCTCGTGAGCGTGATTGTGGCGAAGACGAGGTAGAGGATGGCGAAGACAAAGAAACTGAGGTTCTTACAAAGTTTTTATGCGGACATGGTGTCCGTCGAGATGCGCTGACGTCCGGTCCATGGCTTGGAGATGTAACCATAGGTACGCTAACGGCAGGTGTAGACTTCAGTCGACCATTGAGACCAAAATGGAGTGGCAGTGCTGGAATCAATTTTCAACAAGCGGGAGCTCGAGATGAGCATGGTTCAGTGAAGGTTGTCGATATGTACGGTGGTCCTCTCACATTCAGTGGCCGAGCTTGTGATGACATGCTTGTGGCAAAATTGGAATCAGCTGAGAGTATGACGGTTTTGGAAGTAGACCAGATGAACCTAACAAAGTTCTTTGACAAGGAGGACAAATTTGATGGCGAGAAGAATTACATGCCTTTGTCAATTGTGGTTTAGAAAGGTCTTCACCAAGCTTAATTTTGGCAAGACAAAGGATGCCTAGTGGTACTACATTCGTGGTACTACATTAGTGATGGAGGAGTCAATCTCACTCACTCCTGTTGAGAAGCAAGAAAAGAAGAACAAGGCAATGTCAATCTTTACTTCCATAGAGAAGACAAAATACTTGTCAATGGCGAACAAGTACAAAGAAGATCCTACTCATGTTGGGAGCATTTTTGTTCGTGATATGGGGACAAATTTGTGTTGAACATGGATCCATAATTAGTGTTTAAGAGATCAATTCTATTGCAAAGAAGAGGTAAATGTAAATGGTTGGATAGCCTCTAATCAAACAAGTTTTTTCCTAATTCAATGTGAAGATTAGGATAATCTATGATTTAAATGAAAGGAATTGGATGAGATAGACAAGGTTTCATCTCTGTCATCAACACCTCCAAAAATCCTATAGTCAATGAATACAAACAAGAAAAGTTTAATTGTTTGAAGGAATAAGGTATTTCATCTATAGTAAAGACGAGTCTATTAGAGGAATGAAGAAGATGCAATGATTTGTAAACAAAGTTTTGCTTGTGAATAGTTGATATTTTTATATGAATAATTTGAAGGACTTAAAATGTTGTGCTAATTTTTTGTTGTGGTATTGTAGGTGAAGCTTTTGTGCTTAATGGTGTGGCTTCTAACAATGGCCATTTGTAGATTAGGTGAGTTATTATAGGAATGTTGTGGTCAATTTGTGTTGGCAATGATGAAGTATAGAAAGATAGTTGAACAAGTCAAGGAGAAGATTGTAAGATTGTTGGTTGTATCTCTTGACTACATTGTGGCATGAGATTTACAAACCAAGAATCACAAATTTTATGTGATTAGAGTAAAACAACAATCTAGAATATATATTGCTCTTAGTCATTGTGTATTGATCAAGTGACAGATTTTAGATGAGCTATTTTCAAGGACTTTTACTATTATATTAAGGCTGATAACTTCTTAAAGAATACATAGTTAGATTGAATAGTTTAAGATAGATGGCAAATTTGGTTTTTTTTAAGTATTTTAGTAAGTACATTTGTAGACTATTAGTCTCTGAAAATATATGATATTGTGACCTGGTTGTTTTTTACTATGTTTGTAAAGAAAATTAGATGAATTTTGAAATTCTTTGTTTTTTAGTGGAATATGAGGTTACAAAAGATCTTGATTGTACTTTGTTTGTCACAATATAATTTGATGCATCTAAAATTGATAAATTCTAATTTTGAATATAGTATTTTTAATCACATAGGTTCTTTGGAAATATCTATTAATGCTCTATATTCTAATTTGGTGGAAGATAGTAGCACACATGATTACTTTTTTGCACTCCACATAAAAGGTGTATAATTGATAGTGAATAAATAGCCTCTATATTCAAGTACACATTGCACAATCCAAGTAATGTCATATCAAACCTTTTGCTAAGTTTTTTTGTGAGTCAAGAAATCATAGATGTATGGTCACCAATTAAGAACAAATCACTAACATAAAGAATGTTTTTTTTATTTACTTTACAAAAATAATATAATTTGCCATCAAATGATAATTTTTTTATTTTTTGATGGTTTAGAAATTTGTTAATTTTTTGGAATGTAGCCTTAGGCGCTTGCTTGAGCTTGTATAATGCTTTGTTCAATTTGCAAATAAGATTCTTATGTCTTTTTTTTGATATCCTTGTTGTTACATCATATAAACCTCTTTCTTTTATTTTTCATTTTAAATGGTGTTTTTATGTCAAGTTGATGTATTTTCTTCCTTGTACTATCTATAAGTACAAGAATTGCTTTTATAATATGTTATTTTACAATTGGTGTGTATGTTTTTGCAAAGTCTATTCCATAAATTTGTAAATATCCTTGTATGACTAATTTGGCCTTAAATTGGTTTAAGTTCTTATTTATGCTTGATTTTTTCTTATATATCTTTTTATAAGTAATTTATTTTTTCTAAGTAAAAATTGAATCAATGACTAGGTTTGCATTTTTGAAATGCTATGCATTTCATCATTCATAGCCGCTTGTCAATTTGATGGTTTCTTAAGCCGTAAAGATCTATAGAGCATTAGGATTGATTGCATATTTTACTTTGGAGATATATAATGCATTAAAGAGCTATCAACTTGAGATTCAAGTAATTGCACTAATTTGTTGGAATGCAGTGGTATAATATAAAAGTTTTTTGTTAATGATAAATTACTTTGATTAATTAAAAGCAGTAATATAATTGAAAATAAAGTGCTGATTGGCAATAGCTAAGAAGATGATTTGAGATCTATCAAAAGAAATGGAATATATAATGAAGACTGAATTTAAGATTAAATAGATAATTTTGGTAGAAAATTGCATAGAGTTTTAGATTGGCCATAATCTGATCGTATGTAAGTCTCATCAATTTGTACGTCACAAGACATAATTATTTTATGTTCAAAGTAACAATAGCACTTATATTCCTCGATATATTGATCAATACCAAGTAATATGCATTTGAGAGACTTAGCATCAAACTTTAATTGTTGTTGAGTCAGACTGTGTACTTATATCTTTATATCAAATATTCTTAACTTAGAAATATTAGATTTAATACTTATGAATAATTCTTGTAGATCCTGTTTTTTAATTCCAAGTGAAGTCTATGGTTTAGAAGATAATATGCATGTTTAATAGCTTTTTATTAGAATTATTTTGATAATTTTCTTTCATGTAAAAAAATATCTTATGGATTTGTAAATAAATCTATTTGTGTGCTGTGAAATTATATTATTTTATAGGGTGAATGACTAGGACCATTGGTGAATAATATTTTTTTCAATGAAAAAATTATTAGAATGCATTTGAAGAGTATTTTCTACCATAGTTAATTCTCAATACTTTGATTTTTTTACCTGATATTATTTCTAATTATTATTTGAATCTTTTGAATTCTTAAAAAGATTGATGCTTGAATTTAATTTAAGCAACTAATATGTATGTAATTTAATTATTGATGAATATTACAAAATAACAAGCACCATTTTATGTAAGATATTTAAATGGCCTACATATATCACTATAAACAAACTATGGATGTAACATTGAAATAAATGTACTTTGGAAGAATTTATTTTTTGCATATTTTTCTAATTAAAAAAAATTGAATATTTTTTCTTTATATATATTAATCTTATTAATAAAAAAAATTCAAGATTATAAATTTTATATAATAATCAAAAGTTCAAATAGCCAAGATAACGGTGCTAAAGCTTTGATTGGCTTATAAGGCCTAATTGATTAGTTGTATATATCTTTGGTCTGACGATG